ATGCAAGTGTGCAGCCGTTGAAAACGGTCGCTTGCACGAACTTCTGATTTTGCATTGAACTTCCAGGCCCAGGCAGGATAGCCCTGCACACTCATCAAATATTCATACAAATTCATCCGAGCTGTAGCCCCCTCCTAAGTTCACTAGAGTAAGATCACCCAACCCTAACCACAAAAGATCACAGAAAGAGTACAGGGAAGAGTTGCCTGTCAAAAAGGTGCCTTCTGTTTTTTTCTGTGCGCAGAAGGTTGTTTCACCTCATCTGCGGTGAAAAATCTAAATCGCCCCGTTCCAACGGTCCGCGATCCGAGTGCCTTCACGGTTCTCGAGCGGCGAGAGCTCCTCGAGCGGCACGACCGGGTGTGTGGAGGTGTTCTGACTGGTGCTCCACAAAGCGGCTCTGATGAGTGAGAGCTCGGGGTGGATGTGCGCCCGCCTGTGCGAGAAACACCCCCATAAGTTATCCCAAAATCGAAGAGCCTTCAATAGTTGGGCTGGGCGTCTTAGACACCGATAGTTTGAACGATTTTTAGCGCAGAACTTCTCAGGCATGCAATCCACAGATACAGTCTTGAGGCGTTGCTGTATTGGTGATGTTGTTCTTCACCTTGTTTCAAGAAGTTTTCGGTGTGCTCTAGTAATTGGCAGGGCGGTGGCCAACGGCAACCCATCAACACGCCGTGTGAGATTCTCAGGGTGGCCAGCAACCGCAAAGAGATCAAACCCCTCACACACACAAAGGAGAGTTTGCTATAGTTCCGGAACGCCTTTGAGGTGCTCAATGGCCGACATAATAACCAAAATTCTAAAAACATTAAGAAACTAGACCCCCTGCAGGCCCGAAAGTTTTCAGCAATGCGTGCATAAGTCAAGTCTCTGGCAATTGCTAAAACTTGGTCAAGTCCCTTGCAATTGCTAAAGCATGGCCAAGTCTCTTGCAAATGCTGAAACTTGGTCAAGTCTCTTGCAAATGTTGACACTTGGCCAAGTCTCTTGCAAGTGCTAAAACTTTGTCAAGTCTCTTGCAAGTGCTAGACTCTGTCAAGACCAAACTTGGTCAAGTCTCTCGCACATGCTAATACTTGGTCAAGTCCCTCCATTATGCTAACTAAAGCTTGGTCCGGTCTCTTGCAAGTGAAAAAACTTGGTCAAGCCTTTGAATTGCTCTAAACCTGGGTCAAGGCTCTTGCAAATGCAAAAATTGGATCAAGTCTCTTGCAAATGCTAAATCTTGATCAAGTCTCTTGCAAGTGCTAGACTCTTACAAGTGCTAAAGCCTGAGCTAGACAGACCAAATGCTAAAAAAATTGATCAAGTCTACTTCCCGCACTACATTTTACTACAAGAACTTTAGAGTGAGGCCACCTCACACAGAAGCTGCTTCCTTTACTACATGTGTACCACAAGCTTGCCAGTTCTGGTCGAGTCTCTTGCAAATGCAAAGACTTGATCAAGTATCTTGCAAGTGCTCCGCTCTTACAAGGGCTACAGCCTGAGCAAAAATTTTACAAGCGCTAAAGCCTTGGCGAGACTTTGCAAATGCTAAACCTAGATCAAGTCTCTTGCAAGTGCTAGACTCTTACAAGTGCTAGGGCCTGAGCTAGACAGACCAAATGCTAAAAAACTTGATCAAGTCTACTTGAGGCCAGAGGGGGTGAACGAAAGCTAGCCGAGCGGGGAGGCGTGCGCATGCTAGGGTGTGGCTGCGCAGACAACCAAGCAACAGACCACCAAGCAGCAGCAGCAGCAGCAGCAGCAGACCACCCAGCGCAGCAGCAGCAGCAGCAGCAAACCACCCAGCGCAGCAGCATACCACCCAGCAGAAGCAGCAGCAGCAGACCACCCAGCAGCAGCAGCAGCAGCAGACCACCCAGCAGCAGCAGCAGACCACCCAGAAGCAGCACCTGCAGCAGACCACCAACCAGCAGCAGCAAACCACCACCCAGCAGCAGCAAACCACCACCCAGCAGCAGCAGCATACCACCCAGCAGCAGCAGCATCAGCAGCAGCAGACCAGCCAGCAGCAGCAGCAGACCACCAAGCAGCAGCAAACCACCAGGCAACAACAGACCACCAAGCAGCAGCAGACCAGCAAGCAACTGCAGCAGACCACCAAGCAGCAGAAG